TATTAATACATCAGTATTCAGTAAACTCTATGCTTTATTTGGATTCCATTCATTTTTCTAAAAGTCATTTTTATTTGTTTTTAATTTTTTAAATGTGTATTTATTTTTGAGAGAGAGAGAGAGAGAGAGAGAGAGAGAGCATGAGTGGGGGAGGGGCGAAGAGAGAAAGGGATGGGGCTCGAACTCATGAACCGTGAGATCATGACCTGAGCCAAAGTTGGATGCTCAACCGACGGAGCCACCCCAGGTGCCCCTAAAAGTCATTTTGAAAATATGGTATATTTTTCTATCATAAAGAAGAAACCAGAAGAGAAGGGAGGAATCTGGAAATACGAATGGGGAGAGGGAAGGCTAAGATGTGGTTCTGTTATTTCTGGTGTAGGACAAGCTAGTTAATGTTATGAGGCCACAGGTAAGATAGGACAAAAATACTGTGTTCTAGAAATGTTATGCGATAATGGCTCAAAGGTTATTTAGACCCACATACTAAAACGCCATTAAGATTTAATAGAAACAGGGGTGCTTGGGTGGCTCAGTTGGTTAAGCATCCAACTTCGGCTCAGGTCATGATCTCACAGTTTGTGTTTCAAGCCCTGCATCAGGCTCTGTGCTGACAGCTCAGAGCCCGGAGCCTGCTTTAGATTCTGTGTCTCCCTCTCTCTCTGCCCCTCCCCTGCTCATGCTCTGTCTCTCTCTCTCTCTGAAAAATAAATAAAAACATTAAAAAAAAGATTTAATAGAAATATATCAAATATCGAATTATATACGTGTGGGGGGAGGTGTAGAAGGAGGATATATCCACAGGTATAGAGAGAGACAGAGAGAATGACTTGTGGGTTGAGTTGTGTCCTCCCCAAATTCCTATGTTGGAGTCCTAATGCCCATACCTCAGAATGTGATTTATGTGGAGAGAGGGTATTTACAGAGGTGATCAAGTTAAAATGACCGGTGTCCTTATAAAAAGGGGAAATTTAAACAGAAAAACATGCACACAGGGAGAATGCCATGTGAACCTGAAGACCACTATCTGCAAGCCACAGAGAAAGGCCTGGAATAGATCCTTCCCTCACAGACCAGAAGGAAACAACCCAGCCCATGCCTTGACTTTGCACATCTAGCCCGCAGGACTGTCAGATAATAAATTCCTGTCGTCTAAGTTACTGTTTGTGGTACTCTTATCACAGTAACCCTACCAAACACACACACACACACACACACACACACACACACACACACACACACA